GGGTGTTCCAAGCAACGATTGGAGTGAGAACCTTAAAGGATCAGAAGAGGTCACATGGACCTATTCCTCTGGAATTCTATGTCGTCATTATCCGACGCTCAAGACCAATGTCTGCACTGAACGCTCGTGTTTGACACTGAGAGGCACGGCCTTCGAATCAGCATTTGGTCTTCTTCGTCCCTCTGTAGTGTAGCAAGGGTATTAGAGACCGTTTACACGTACGTTCTGTGGTTTTCGTTCCGGCGTGCGTTTTTGCCGGCTTGAAATTTACGTACTCATGCCTTCTTGCGGATCTCAGGCATCTCCTGTCCCGAGTGCCGCTACAGACTCATCATGTGACTTAGCAGTATTAATCGTTTTCGGCCTTCATATTTCGCACGATTAGGAAGAGGATGTGTGCGTGCGTGCGTGCGTGTGTGTGTGTGTGTTTGTGTTTGTTTGTGTGTGTGTGTGTGTGCGTGCGTGCGTGTGTGTGTGGTTGGGGGGGGGGGGGGGGAGGGGGAAGGTAGGTAGGTAGGAAGGAAGTTAGGTAGAAATTAGGTCTTATTTCCGAAACTCAACTTCTTGGACCAGTGTGGTTCTAATTTTCCCCGCAAATCTCAAGATAGGGAAACTTCGTGAGTTGTATAATTTGTTCTCAACAACAACAAGAAATGGAAAAGATGGACAAACATTTCCGAATTAAGCAGACTTCCTACGTGCAAGGATGATTTAGATACCATTTGAGCTGGTTATTTTTACAATAATTATCTAGATCCTTTCACGATTGTCTATACATTTGTGTACCTCGTTTTTGTGCATTCAAATAGTTTTGAAAGGAGGTTTGGAAAATCGTCGTCTTCCCGTTTTCAAAAAGTAAGAGGGTTTAACTTTTTTTTTTTTTTTTTTTCGTGTTCGCGTTGCAAATGTTGGATGCAAAGAATATTAGCTATCAACGAAGAAAGTCAATATAATCTGCGTCTACACATAAATTAATTACCTAACTGCGCGTCCGGAGTACGTTAGCAGGTCATAACGTATCTGCAGGAACTAACTGGTTAGAGGGATCTCGAAGATTGGTAAACATTGGGGAGTTGTAGTAGACCGTTTCCGCAGCCCGCTAAGCACCCGGATAGCGGTCCGTAATCCGCCACAAGACGTTGAACTATGCAGACAAGGCTGGCGGCGCGCATGCGCAGCTGCGGCGTTTTCTTCGCGGACACCGTAGTGGAGGAGAAAAACGATCTGCAACAACTGCCTATTGTCCAATGCGCCATGTCCCACCGGTAATCATGAGATCTAAGAAGAAGAATAGAAAGCCCGCTACACCAGATGAACGACGAGAGAAACGGAAACGGAGAAAGGGAACATGAAGTTATTTGGCTCTGAAGCAGACGCCGATGCTTCAGTACCTTTTTTTAGCTTCATTCGCCAAACGCGGTATAACTACAGCGTATACAGCCAATAATTTACGCGACGCGGCTCTATTGGGAGACGACCTGGCGGACCATAAACTTCTTCTAATCGTCAATCGGGAGAGGCTGATGGACCGTCCAGTTGTTTGACTACAAGGCGTCGTCTAGAGTAAGACAAAGAATCCGTAAATTTCGATCATAAGGAGTGAGACCGCGGGAGCAAACACCGCCGTGCATGCGACAGCTCGAAGCGGCACAGCTTCGCCACCGGAGTTTGCACAAGACGCGACCCTGTTTGAGTCTGCCGAGCCGAAATGTGGCGGCTGGTTGGCGCACTGCCCGCGGGATCATCGCAGAGACAACGGAGTCTACTCCCTCCGGTTTCGGAAGGAGTGTGCGGAGGGTTTTCTCTTCAGAGAAGCCGAGAAAAAGACGATGAAGCGGGCTGTTTCCTTGCCTGAGTCAAGGGGAACTCGTGTGACGTATGCGCGCCGTACAAAACGAGAGGGACAGTCGAGAATGCCGGACAAAAACGTCAACCCGAGCAAGACCCTCGGCGTTTCAGTCGTTTTCCGTCCAACTCACAATTGCTTCCGAATGTGTTTGATATTCTGTTTATTCCCCTACCGACGCGGGCTATGTGAGCGTGAGCACGAGCTCGGTCGTACCTTTCAAATAGCTGGTCCCACTGCGCGAGTGCAGACGTATCGAGACGCGCTGTAAAAGCTCATGCTTTCGCAGCGCTCATAGCATTTCCCCCGGGGCCCAAGGGCCAGTGGAGCGATATTTAGGTCCGGATGCATGAACTGGCGGAGTATTGAAGAGTCGACATGTCGATACGATCCCTGTTTATCGTGTGCCACTCGGATGTCTTGTGCAGGGCGAATCTTTGCTCATATACACTGTTTTGTGTCTTTCAGGTTTGTGGTACCCATCACTTTAACGCTCCTCGTCAGTCTTGTCATGGTGAGTACCTTTCATATTTACGGGAGCAGATGGTTGGACGTCGCTTAATGAGTATCAAACAAACAAAAAAAAAATACAAATTATTGGCTATGCCAAACAGAACGATACAACTTATCGGCTATGGTTTATCTTTCCATTTTCACATTCAATTTCGTCCGTGTAAGTTAACGTAGAACTGAATTTTAAAGACTCTTAGCAGTTCGAAAGCAAAAGATATACGCCCGTGAAGAACGACTCCTCTTGTGCTGACGAGGTGTACGCGCATAAAACAGCGAAGTATGTACTGTTCTTTGCTTTTTTGTATTCTGAAATTGGTTAGCGCTAAAACCCTTGAAGCCGCACTCTCAGAAAAAAAGGAGCCAAATGATCCAAAAAGGGTTCTTTTCGCTAAAAAAGAACCGATTTCGGGGAAGATCCCTATGAAGCGTGCTTTCTCAACCAAAAGCACCCCTCGCAAAATAAAAAAAAAGAAATGCAGAGCTAGTGTCCGGCCTGGAAAGAGTTAAAAGGGTTCTTGTTGCAGCCAGGAAAGAGATAAAGCGATCTTTGGAAAAAGAAGGTCACTTAAGTCTTCTACCGGATAGAGGGACACAATGACCAGGCTCGAAAGGCTTTGCACGCGAGAAATTGGGTGTGTCATTCTGTGGAAACAAAGCTGCCCGTGTGAGCTGTCAAGTCCTTGAAAGCTCAGAGAGGTGGAATGTCGTAGTTATTTACCAAGTCGGTGCAATTTGAGGCCGAGATAATCTTCGCCTCCGTCCACAGATGAAACAGGCTTCGATGCCTTTGACTCCCGGGCCACCTGCTTCAGCGGTCTGAACACTGGCGTTCGTTTGCGAACGTAACTGCTCGCCGTGTTTTCTTTAGTAAGAAATGTTAGTATAAAGCTACTCTTTGGTACTCATTTGTATAAACCAAACAGGTCATTGAATTAAAGTTTATTTGAAGAAATCTGTACCTGCGGAAATCGAATGTGTATTTGATTTCCGCAAAAAAAAAAAAACTGCATACAAATTTTTGAAGGTGCAAAACTTCGATCAATGAGCAACACACACAAAAAAGTGCGTGTTTTGATGAATGAGTGATATGGTGATTAAGCGGCGTCGTGTTTTTTTAGTAACAAGAGCAATTTTTAACTTCCTTTCGTGTTTAAACAATATACGTATAACTGCGCGTATGAATGAAAAATGAATAAAACAGGGAAAAACATTTTTTTTTTTTTTAGTATAGAATGCAGTTGTTTTAGCTTGTGGTCACAACACAGCCCGTCTCCCAATACGGCGCCTCTGATTGATGAAAATTAATCCTTGGAGAAAGAGATTTGTGTTTCTCGTTTGTCCCCCTTGTTCCCTTTCTCCAGGGATTAATTTTCATCATTCTTGTCCAGCTCGCTTGCCCCGTTGCATTTAATTGCATTATAATCATAGCCTCTGATTGTTTCGCTGCACGCGCCAAGCCGCAAAATAGAGTTGGGACCCATCCGCGAGTGGCATCAAAAATACTGCTGCGCGGAAGGTTAAAGTGATGTGTTGCGGTCATCTTTAGCTTCAGAAATAAATCAGCCTGTAAATGGTGGTTTCTCGATTTCAAGGAGCAGTTATGTCTAGAAGGATACCCCGAAATAATCCGATAGGCATATTCTATAAGTGCGTTTTGAGTGAAACAAAACTAAACTTCGATATGTTGTGCGTTCAAATGTATGAGTAATAACGCAGTGTAAAAAATGAGTGCTCCGTCCGCCGGTGAATTCCGCTCGCTACTTTGAGGTCGCCCACCAAAAGTTAGGAAAATGGGATCGCACGAGGAAAAAAAAAAACAGAAACGTGTTCGTTGCTGTTCTCATAGTTTTCGCGGGCAATATGGCGTGGTAGGATGAAGAACAAAATGGCCTCGGACGAAATGGCCCTGGACAAAACGGACCCGGACAAAATGGTCCCAAGTGCAATCCCAGAGAGAATGTTCCCAAATGATTTTTAGACGCTCATCTTTTAATAAGGTGCTACTCTGAAGTTCTATTAAGTACATTCAATGCTCTGATAATGCAAGTTTTGTAGAGACTATAAAAAAAGAAGCTTAATATAGACGCGACAATGTTGGAGAAACACACACACGGGGCAGGCACCTGTCTCGTGTGGGCTTTCCTTCGACTTTGTACCGTTTATTTTGCACTCTTTTTCATTATGCCGATCAACCAACTAGCCCAACAATCTATTTTACTGCTTGATACAACTCTCTCTGATCTCCCGCTCGAAGCTTTAAATTGATGCGGTACAGTTTCATTTTGTGAACTTAATGTTTTACTTTAAAGGAGTTCCCTCGTTAGTTCAACAGAGCTACAAGAAGACGTTTTGAGTGAAGCCATACGTAGCACACATTTACAACTAGTTTCTTTGTGTAATGAAACGTTTATTTCACAAAAAAATGTATTGCATTATGCGAATATTTATCTTTTTATATGTTGGGATTGTGACAATTAAAGCTAATAAAAATAAGGAGCGAGAAAAAATACGACAAAATTTATTTGGACCATTTCGACCGCGTTTACTATTCGAACATTTTGTCCGGGGCCATTTTTCTGGTTCTCGAGCTGGTTCTGTGTATTTGATTCCCATTTCTAGTGTAAAAGGGGTAAGCGCCGACTGCACGCCCAAGGATTTGCGTGACATGGCGCTTAACTGAGCTAATATTTGTTCAAAAAATGGCAATTGACGGTTTGAAGGTCGCTCTAATTGGAATAAAAATTATTTGTCAACGACATCTATTCGCTCTGTCTAATTGCTTTATTATCACTTCTCTTTCCAGTTCCAAAATAGGCTCGATTATCATTCAATCTTGTTTTCCAGGCCTCTATTTTGGTAACTTCCTATACAAAACACGTCACTGACTGGACACTGAATCATCGAATCTAGGTGCGTTGTCGTATTGCCGTCACAGAAGTCGCTCAGCCACCAAATAGACCAACACGCGTTGCTCAACACAATTTGTTGCTTGTTTCCGTTGACGGAAGGTGTCACACCGAATCGATAATTTCGCTCTTGTTTATATTGTGTTTCTTTTGGGCAAGAGAGTGAACTGCCAACAATTTTACCGGCGGTTGACGGACGTGCTTGATGATCTGATCGCCGTGTTTCCTGGCAGACAGGGACGGAAAAGCGATGACATGTGCATATTATCTTCGCCAGAGAACCATGGTTCGGACAGCTGAACGGCACCCCAGAAGATAAGCCATAATGTATTCAAAAGCGATGTTTTGGGGGCTAATCCGCTCACCACCAGGCTGACAGTTCGGTGGAATCGTCATGCTTGTTTGACCAGTGAACCTTCTGTCTTGCACCACGTGATCACAACCGCAGAGAAAGGTGTGAGGTGATAAAAACCAGGCGACTAATTGGTTCGGCAAGCACGTAGCTCCCACCACGCTGTCAGCTTAGCGGTGAACAGGGATGGATCGCTGAAGGTCACTAGAGCCAACAGGATCTAGCTTCGTTGCTCGAGGGAGTGCCAGCACTCGCTCGTCCGAGTGGTGGATCAGAACAATGTTTGACCTCCTCTCCCTTTGGGTTTGAAGCTCTAGAAGGAAGTACCTTCCTTCCTTTCCTTTTAGTCATCACTTGCAACATGTCAGCGGACGTGAGCGTGGACGTCAGCGGACGATTGGAGTGCAATCGGCCTGTTCATCATTTCAAGGTAAAACTTTTTCTTAAGCAGACAATGTTCGTAATTTCCCTTAAAAATTGCTATAAGTACAGTAGCGCTCAATATGGCAAGAAAGTGTTTGATGCATAGGCATAATAAGTAGGACAGGGGGCGGCCTCTTATTAATTAAGCTGCTTGTCGTTTGAAATTTGTTTTTTGCTATTTTGGCTTGCAATGTCCAAACAAGCACGTTGCAAAAAAAAAAAAAATATCATTTTGACAGTCTCGCATGTTGAACTACACAAGAGAAAAACGTTTTTGAAGCGAACACTGACCCCATTACTACAATACCGATTTTATATAATATGACAAAATACCGAGTTCAAGCTTTCCGCCAGAAAGATCTGAAGAACAGAACTTCGAATTTACAGCGCGAATAAAATGAGCAATGATATCTCTTCGTAAATGTAAAAACTTATGCTACCGGGCTTTAATTAGCTAATGTATCCGTATTTATGGCCCCAATAAACGCGAGCAAATAGTGCTGTAAACGTTTCTGTTTTCTGACCGGCCAGGGACATGACACTTCGAGAGCCAATCACTGCAGTTTACGGCACCGCTCAACTAATGACGATGCCGAACATTTGGTTAGACCCAAGGATGCAGTCTGCGCTGTTACATTAAGCAATGCAAAACGTCCCGCTTGCATTGCTTAATGTGACAGCGCAGACTGCATTTCTTGGTCTAAACGTATATTCCGCGTCGTCATTCGCTGAGCGGACTTCGCAGGTTGCAACGATTGGCTCTCGGAGTGGTGTGCGGTAATCGACAGGCGCGAACTTTTTGTGCATTTTGTGTTTGCACAAATGTGGATGTATGTTTGATAAAAATAATTGTTTTATTTGGTCTTTTATGCAGTGCTGCAACTATTATGTCAATAGCGTACATGCGTAAACGGCGCATAAACGTAAGAAATTGTTTTTGTTTTAGGGATTCGTTGATACTGACAAATCTGAAGGCGCCGTGAGCGTTCGCCGTCATGTCTTGCTCATGAAAGAAGAGATAACTAAAGTGCCCCTGAACGTCGACCTGATACAAGACCGCATGATGCGGACGTTTCAGTCTTGCCAAGAATTGATATTCAGCGAGGCTGGAGTCCTCACAGTCCTTGAGGAATTTCCGGCAATGACGATTCCCGGAATGGTAATTGAATATTGTCTTCTTTATATTTAGTCTTAAAGTTTCGAGATTTTTACAGGTCATCAGGACTTCAAAAGTTTCTTACTACCCGTTTTATTGCCTGTGAATGAGACAAGGGCTTTTGATACGTGCTAAATGATATAATTTTACCTCGTAATAATGCT